GAACACGTTGTATATTTTAAGTCACTGGAAAAAGATGGAAATGCATGTTTGAATGTTCTGCAATTTTGCCTATGGGTAGCAAACAGACAAACCGATTAGTTGGCCGAAAGGATTAATCATAGGTAAACCTCTAGCTAGCATGTGGCTCAAATCTACGTTGTATTTACGTAGCTCTGCAAGAGTGGGTGTTTGTCTTGAGTGTGAATCTTCAGGCAGTAGGTTTTCGCTACTTTCTTCTAATTCACGAGATCTCTACTTAAACTGCTTGTAGAAAACGAGACCAACCCTAAACATAGAGTTAGTCTCGTTTTCTAAGTCGTTAAGTTTAAGCATAAACTTAACGAAAATTCACATGGTTAATACATATCAGCTAAAGGAAGTAAAAATATACATATATATCGAGAGTTTTCAAAAGACGTCGATTGTAAGCTTGCATCTGTAAGGCTGAGTGAATAAGCTCAGATTTACGGCAGTAAAAATGATACACTTTCTAATTCTATATCGTTTGTTGTGTAACTCGCATCAAAAAAGATACATTTTAGCCAGTATTAATCACGATGACTATATTATTCGAATGCACAAAATGTATATTTCGCCTATTTATCTATCGGTAATTGAAGCACATAACAATGAACCAGCGTGTTTATTTTGTATTATATATTTGCCATTGGATTCTGACTACAGACTACTATCTGTCTATAATAGAGTTTATTATACTTAAGTGTGATTAAATAAAGAAACAGTAATGTAAAGCTGTTCTTGAATCTTTGCTTTAAGCCGACACGGTCTAACATAGAATCTCCGGAGTGGTCGCAATATTTCATATTTGCAAATGCCGTTCAAAGCATCTAAATGATACTGTTGTTCCTACAGCGATGCATGTTCTTTTATTGCTGAGAAGCCGATGTAGGTTTATATCGATTAATAACCTAGGAATTGGCTTCAGGAGGAGTGCTGATCTTCGTTCTAGGGTCACGGCCTGATCTGTTCGATATCTGTTTGTCTACTCTCATGCACTAACAGACCTTCTCCAGCGGCTTCTAAATTCGAACTAGGTGATAGTTGGCTATTAATTTGAAGACCTTTTATTATTAATTTCAAGACTTTTAATAAACTTCTAACAGGCTCCGACCTGGGGCTTGGTTCTAAGCGAATCAGACCATGAATGTCAAAAACTAGACGGCAAACAATCTTTATTAATGGCTCAGCATTTCGAAGCTCCGCCAAAGCGACCTGTTCAGAAGAAGAAATACACAGCATGTTTTCTAAGTAAAGTTGCATTAAGGGAACGATTACATATATCTGTTATCGACGAAGCACGCACCGTTCAAAATTCTCATAAGGAACACGTCGAAAATACAATTATTAAAGGTTGCAAGCTCATATCATTTACGAAAATATTTACCCTAGTATTGTGCCCTTTTAGGTGAAAAACTTAAAGGTGAACGGTTGTTTAGGCTGCCCACCCTATAAAAACACTGAAGTTCATATATTCAACGTAGAATACATAATTTTATTACTTCATTAGAAAAAAGTATTCGATGTAGATCTGAAATTTTTTGGGGTAATATATATACTAAACAATTGATTAATTATATTTTAGTTACATGATCTTGCACTTAAAATATTAAATTATTATAATTAAAGTAGAACTTTAATTTTGGTGACATATCTAAACAAAGACAACTATTTTAGCCTTGTTTTTCAACGCTGCAAGTACGATTATTTATAACAAACATGTTTATTTAATGTGATCTCCGTTCGACTCGATCAAAGCTTCTATTCGAGACTTCAACTATACGTTAGCCACTCTCAATTGTCCATTTACAAGCTTTTCGTTTCAAGAGTAACCGTCCGTTAAGCAACACAGGCAGACTTGTCTGTGAAGGTCTTATGTTCCACGCAAATAACTCATTCCCAAAAGTGCAAAAACTGAGCGCTCTGAAGAGTCGAAAAAGGCTGGGCGTTGCCGATTCTTTGGCGACACAATAGGTTAGACGATACTCTTCGCGAAGACAGAAGCCAATTTCTATATCGACCGCTGAAGACTATCAGAAATTCAATCAATTTTCCAGCCCCCTAAATATAAGCCCCACTGTAAATCGTCCGCTTTGTTGCATATAAAATTCCCTTGAACGTTCTAGAAGCTGCGCCACTACTGGGACACACTGGAAATACCACGGAGCATCGATTTCGGGCAAAGAAATACATTTTCAATTTTGGCGCGTTCGCTCTCGCGAGAAAATATTCGTCATTTGCAAATTTTGTCCGGAATGTAAGAACAACTCGGTCGCGTTCTAGTCACCATATATTAGGAAGATAACGAAGATTAACATACATCTATATACAGGCATGTATTCATAGAAACTGCATGAGAAGACAGGGTAGGAGTATTGTAATGCTTGCTGCCTTCATTAAGCATCCAATCTACTAAGCTGACAGGACATCCGCCATGGCGTTCCTAGGCGGAGCGGGAAGTAATCACGAAGATCACACAATCAGCAGGTATACAGGAGGTGAATCGACCGTTATTGACATTAAGCCACATTAACCTTTCCTTAAGGCTCTACTCCCTCGCGCTGCTTCTTTCTGGGCGCCGCTAGCGCTGTATGAACAGCCTACAGGATACGTTGGGCTGTTTATTCGATCAAGCCGGTACGTCAGTAGACAAGCGGTATTGGTTCAGCGACTTTTACCACTCAATGGCCATGATGAGGCCTAACTTGCTGACCGTACAGGCATAACGAAGTTAGTGTAAGTCTGTGTTGAGCTGTTGTATCTTTTAGTTTCGGCCGAAAAGGGCACGCTGCCCTAGTTCTCCATAATATAACTGTCGCTGCATGGTGATCTTCAAGTAATAGTTTGCCTTCCTCTGAATCTGCCAGTTCCGCTTTGTACGGAGGGACGTCATGGCATCTGACGTTCGAAGATACCAAGTGTCGTTCAATTCATTCTTTTTAGATGCTTTTGCCTCCTGAAAAAGGTGCAGTTCGCAACCTTTGACCATTCTGCGCATCGTCCTTACTAAATAATTAGGCCTGCCCTTAGAGCAATATTCCAAGTAATGCTATTCTGTTACGAGAAATTTCACCATTTGTCATTTTTGTCTCTTTGCATATTTAAGCAATTGACAAAGGGACAAATTGTTCATTTGTACTTCAGAATGTTTACTATAATAAGTATTTCAATGGAAAAAGGTATACTCTTAGTACTTTGACCTACATTTGTTGTTGAGATAATTTTAGTGCCTTTTCCAATATGTGTACCAGAAATTCGCGGAGTTTTTGTTTTTAAACGTGGCTAAAAGAAGAGGTTTCAGCAAAAAGTTTTTGCGAAAGACCTAATAACATATATTTTTTGAGAAATTCTAGACTTTACATTTGTGTGCGGAAACCCAACGCAATTAAAATCTTTTAACGAACTTTTAGTAAAATCAGTCTGCAGGTTTTCTTGTCATTTTTTTGGCAGATCATTAGGAACAGTTAGACGAATCTAAAGGCATGGCTATGTAAAAATTATAGTTCATGCGAAAATTCATCGTATAATCAATAAATTCTCTATGATGAAAAGAAGATTACCATTTTGGGTGATTGAGAAATTTGTATCGAGAATTTTAAGAAATGGAAGATTGTAGAAGCTCACATGCGCGCCACTATGGCGCAAATAACAATCCCTTTGGCTATGAAATCCAAGGCCGTCAGCTCCAAGCCAGCGATGGACCATCTACCTCATCCAAAGGTTAAAGCTTAATGCAAATATGAGAACCACATATTTCACAAATATCTGCTTCTCAATTCTATAGAAATGCACCTCGGACGAAGAGCTTCAAATTGGAAAAACGTATTAACTTATTAACGCCAACAGCTTTTCTTTGTAGAGGAAACATAAGTTTTTTTTTTCCCACTTTAGATAGAGTAAATCCAAATGTACTTTTTTTAGAGAACACTTCAAATAAAATATTAGTAAGTCAGCACTTCGTTTGCAATAAATATGTTGTATCTCAAAAAAAGTTTAATTCTCTCCATTTATCGATATGGCAATTGAGTTAAGGTTCGTATGTCTGAAACCTGTTGCTCTTATTTCAGATGAAGCGAAACATTACGTATGATAGCTAGGATAAATTAAGTTAAAATTGGGGAATTAAAGTTTACTCGGTATCGATGACATCTGTTACTTGAAAACTGCTACGGATCTCTGTGTCTCTCTCTTAGTGACAGGGACACTCTTAGTGACTTTCTTCTCCAATGTTCAAACATCGCGATTTGTATAGGACCATTGGAGTAATTTTTAACTTGGTTGGAACTTCGTTCATCATGGAACTTTTGAGAACGTTCATTTTGAGTGGCCTTGTATTATATATTCTAGCCGGAAGACGGGATTATATTTATGCCTTTTCTGCTTGGGTAATCTAGAATCCACGTATTATTTATATTATCCCGTTTTTAGAGGAAACACCTTACCGCGATACCGATAGCAATAGGCCAAGGGTACGCCTACACAGTTTTTGTAAAATATTGTACCCAATTGAGAAAGAATAGTATTCAACACTCAACGGCAGATAATATTGTTGTTTATTTACTTATTTCATTTTCAGTTATTATCGTTCAACAGAGAGTTTCTTATCGTTTTGTTTACTCATCGGTCTCTTATAATCACTATATTTGCAGTAAGAATCACCACTTTTCCTAATAATATACCATTCGTCTCATTTTTTAATATTAATAATTCTCATTATTAGTATATTGTTATTAGATTACTATATAAATATTAAAGTGTCTCATCTCGTTCATAGCAACCACGGCCAATATGAGATCCGGTGGAATCGAGATTGTCCGGAGCTTCTGCTAGTTCGAAACAGAATGTCGTCTGCTCTTGAATATTGCGAATCCAATCCGATCTGTTGGTACTCGGTAGGGTGTAAAACGCAAAACGTTCAAAGTCTTATTCAGAGCTGTAACTGCAATAATAGCAGGATTGGTCACCGTAACGTATCTTGCTCTTTTGAAGGTGGTATCATTTCTACCCTTTTGATGAATCGCGTAACATGTACGTAGGCTGATGAGGCGGGTCACTTTTGCGATGAGTCTGCAGATATGATAACCGTAAGCAGAAAGAACTTCTTTTTCACTTTCCTCTTCCATAGATAGTACTTGATTCTCTTTGACAACACTGAAGTTTCTACCTTTCGGTCATTATATATATATATTCTTAACATAAATGCACTTTATACCCAATAAAATCATTTAACTGTTTACAAGTTCGGCTTCAGCGATGCTGAAACCCACTTCGCGCAGTTTTCTATTATGCCACTACAGCTTGCGGTGAAAAGGATCTGTCCAGTGAAACAACCTCGCAATTTCTTAGATTGCCGTGGCCCTGATCATGTTGTGGCCCTTGTTGTCCTTCCCTCTCTGTTTCTAGGTAGTCAACCCGGTACTGCCATTGGAAATTTTAACTCCTATAGTGGAGTTGCTGGATGACATGTAAGCATTGTATTTATATGAATATTATTTCTTAATATTATGACTATTAGTTCTTGAGTGTGTATGTCAATGGAAATTATTTGCAGTGGAAGGGCGTCATCCATCCATATCTGTTTTACAAAATCGTTTCTTCCTACTATGCTTATACCTTACTTGAATATCTATGGTCACATTTTTATATATTATAGATGTAACTCGTAGGTGCCTATGTTCTATACCGTAGTGTTATATCGGTCCTTTCCATCTGCGGTTTAATGCCTGTTAATATGTATACAGACAATGCGTGCATGTACCAAGATTTTGTCGTGCAAAACCGCCTTCATTTCGTTGTAGGGTTCTCCTAAACATCATCGCCGCAATAATAGCAGGACTTATATTATTATTGATATCGTGTCTCGATTGGCCGGGCCATCGTGAAAGGGCTTCAGTTCGGTGACTTGCCATCATATCAGTCACACTTGTGTTGTGAGTATCACAGCCGTCGTCAAATAGAGGCAGCGGTGTTACCGCTTCCAAAATAGCCACTATTTGAAACAACTTTGTTCTAGACCTCCTGTAACAGACTCGTTTTTCTGCTTTAATTTTTATAGTAGACATCTTTGTGATATGTGTGTTAACGATGTACGAACCTTGCGGACGATGATCTCTTCGACCGTTTCGGTTTTCGCCAATCGCATTACGCCTGGCTGCTGACGGTTGATCTTCTCGATTTTGTCGATGAATCGACGTTGTTGCAGAAGTAAACAGAGATTAAATGAAACACACTTAAGATGATGTTTTGACAACAGTTTTTCATTTGCTGTGGCCTTACCCGCTTGTCGTTCGCTATTCTGCTTTGATCTTTCATTGCTTGTTTACATATCGTCTGCGCGTTGATAGATTGTGCTATGAGCGCCATGAAAAAGTCAGCACTTGTTTTTCTGTGTTAGTTCGGTTAGCTTTAATTCGATACGTATTTTGATTTGTCGATTTTGGTCTGCTACATCGTCTGCTTGCGTATTTCGTTCTGTATTTATCAACACACTGTATCTGCGTTTTTTTTTGTTTGTTTTAAACGTGTGCACTGTCGTCGTCGTAACTGGTCAACAATTTATTAATATCATCTTGTTAATAATTTGATCTATAATTCATATTATTCTTATTTTTAATAGGAATAGAGGAGAAATATCTATTAGGTTTTCAAAAATAATAACACTATGGATATTCTTCATGTGATTTGAATCTATTACTACAGCAAATAGTAACATGTGCAAATGATGCAATGATTATACTATTATTCTTAAATCTTCGTTTCTATGGGACTTCGTATTCCACTCTTTGTAGCACTTACAAACTTCTATTTTTTCCGTTGGGCTGTTCTAGCAGCAGCCAGTGTTGCTGAGACCAACTTTTATTAGAGTGGTTAAAAAGCCAAAAAGAAAACGTATTAGCGTCTTTGTCACGTTTCGATTAAATAAAACTGTTTTTTTTGGCTGTCACAGGAGATGACGGGGTTGTCCTCTAAACTCGGTGTTTAAGTATCATACACACACACGCATGTATATATATATATATATATATATATATATATATATATAAGTGTGTATATAGACAATACTACAACGGTTGCAAGATAAACTGCTGGGCTTCCTTATACTAAGTGAAAGTCGGCGACTGCGCGACTGAGACGCGGGCGTTCTGTAAGTGCCTGCTAATTGGAATTATAGCAGTATTATTATTATTATTATCATAAGTAGCCATAATGGAACACCATGCTATTTCATAGGCTGGAAAAGTCTAGGTAAATCTAGCAAATTTGCAGTGCGGATAGTCAACGAGCGAGTGAAAGAAATATGGAACATAGTGCCTTATATCGGGGCTGACACTGCGCAATGTAAGCCTGACCTTCGCGGGTTTCAGCGCACAACTCAAGTCCAGTTATGCTATACGTCTTCTTGTCGATGATCCCGTAATAATACCTTAGAATTTATATCTTGGGTAAATCAGTCCACAAAAAGCAGGAATTAAAAGTCAGATATAGATTCAGAAAAAAATGGTAGTAATCGTACTCGAGGGGCCCCCAGGATTGCGGTGTTTGGTCCTATCAGGCCCTAATATTTACCACTTATATTTGTGTAGCTGCGCTGTGTTGCCTGTCAATATATTTATCATTGTCTGAGCTTTAACAGGCAGGCAAACGATGGTACATAAACGTTTAGCCAGACAGACGTAGTCAAGGGAATCAAAATCAAATTCAGACAAAAAAACGGAGTCATTGTCTATCTCGTATTGTCGCTACTTTTGCTGACGTATCTCCCTACCAGGCTTAACATATAAGATTAGCTAGGTTAGAAACCTTATAAAGTAAGTGTACTTTGGTTCGCGTTAGAAGGTAGCCATCGGAAGCGATGCTTAACAGCAGTATCCAACACGAAACTCGAAACTTTTAATCTACTTTGAAAGAAAACTATGATTAGTGGCTGTATCATAACTTATCGTAGACGATCTTGATTTTTCAAATATACGATGATAGTTAAATGAGAAACGGAAGAAAGCGTTTAAAGTTTCCTGAATAAAGTAAGCTTGAGAGCTTACATCACGGCAAAGATAAGTCATGGCTTTAGCTGTTTTCGAAGAAATAATCATCACTTATTTTTATTGTTTTTTTTTAAGTATATTCCCGATCGAAATAATCCCAGGATTCCCTTTCATGTAAACAAGAGTAAGACATTGAAAACAATGCAATGATTGTAATAAACACAAAGTTAAGCTCATTCTGTTTAGCTTTGACCATTACACCAGAGCAAGTGCACCTATGGGGACACATATGCGGATTTCAGCTTAAGAAGGAACCTAACCTATGGCTCCGACGAGATCGTATCAATTATCCTTTTTAAATAGTAAAAGAGATATACAAATGCCAGCTAGTCAGGTCTAGAATATAGCGATATTCTTGAGTGAATCGGAATTAACCAAAGCCAGCGATATTTTCAATAGGTCGAAAAAAGGAAGAGGGGCAATATGTCAGACCCGGAACATGCGCGACCGGGTTCCAGCCAACCGATCGATTGACCAGGTGGAACAAGGAGTTCGAGACAACAGGGTAAATCTACTTCATGAATTGAACTCTTTTTTTTAGATTATTCCTGCTGCAAGTAATTACAAGTGCCGATTCAGCTAGTTTACACGCCAAATGACTGAATTTTGCCACTGACGTCCTTGCCTTCCATAGGGTTACATCTAATCAAATTGGCAAATGAGCGCATGGCGAAGAACTGGTAGAGATCTGGCAGAATCAGTACCGTGCTAGTGTTGTTGTTTAGTCCACATTTGCTTTTAGAGATTACTACCCATCTTTTAATTTCCTCTAGAAAACTAGCTTTTACGAGCTTGTCCTGTGTCATTTGCTTGTTGCTATTGTTGTTTTGTTCTTTTGTATTTATTACACTGTCTTCAATCTTTTTCGTCTGGTTGTACAGTTCACTGTTGCTGCCGTTATTGTCATTGTTATTGGCGTAGCTTTCTTGTTTCTATTCCATTAGCCCCATCGGAGCGGAGTTCCGTACGGTCGTCCGCTGGGGGTTAACGCGGGTGCGTAAGCTGAGTCCTTGAAACGCGTCTGTCGGATCTGCGTGATAAAGTTACGCTTGTCGGAAAGGGCTTTTAGCAGGTCGGTGGCTCGTAAGAAGCGCCTGGCCGCTGACTGCGCGGCCACTCCAATTTCCGAATCGGGGTAATCCTCGTTTGCATCCGAATGGCCTTCAGGCCAGCGCGGGTGCCCCTGCAGCAACTAGAATCAGTCAACGAGAGAGCAAAAGCATAAAACAAACGGATCAGAACAGTAGCTTAAGAACACATATAGAGACGAAACGAATGATTGTAGATACGATCCCTAAGCAATAATATATAGAGCTTCAAACAGATGATAACTAGCGAGACTTTTCATTAAGGTAAGCGTTTGTTCGTTTGGAATAGTTAACGTTGAATTTAGGGTGCTGGCGTATGGACACGACTAAGCATTTCTTATTGGGAGCACTGAGAAGTTAGAGCTCACCACCATACAAACACGTTACATGTAAAGTCATTTTTTTGTGAATGCTCTATTGGATATGGTAAAAAGTACGGCTATTGAGATGGTAGCGATTTAAATAAACTGTCGTTTTTTGTTTTCGAATAAAAATATTTGCACAAGAAGATGGCGAAAAATGACGTATAAATCACAGACAGCTTGGGAGGAAATTCTCTAATGAGAGAAAGGGAGTCGAAAATGACGCGATCGGCCATAGAGACCTTTGGTGGAGAAATATGAGACAGGTGTTTATTTTAGATAGTGTATATCTTTACATCATTCGAAATTTTTCGTTCTTTGTCTAACCCGGTCTCCGTGTTTGTTTCGCAATAATCGACGGTTGCAACTCGCTCTCTACAACATTGTGAAAATGTTTTGGGAAGTATCATAACTGACAACTATGAACGACATTTCTAACGCGTTGAACAGACGGAAACGATACACAATGATCACGGTATTGTACCTATAAAAAAATGCGTCAAATTTAAAAATAGGCAAAAAATTATACGAATTTTGTACCTCTATATATATATATATATATATATAGCGAGGTATACACTCATAGATGCCTAATTACGAATCGGATGCAATGCTGGAGTGATTAGCTGTAAAAGGAAATTGCCAGCTGGATATGTGGGCGAGCCGGAACTTCTATCATGTACGTGGCTGTCGTATCACCGGTGAAAATAATCATAGTAATGGCTAATATGTTTGAATTGTTCGTTTATACAGTACAACTGGGTTTAGTCCGGTCTGCGCTGCAGTAGAGACATTAGTACAAGACACGTTTGCGTAAACAGATAGAAAGAACCCGGGATGTAATTGAGGACGCGTCAGGTCAAACGCGCAGAGCTCGGCTGGGTACGTAAAAGAACAAAGCGATATTTAGAAGGTGGCAATGTTTAATGACTTTGGAACTATTGATTGCTTTATAGGCGTCGAAACGAAATTCTGCAACTGTAATTCTATTATCCATAGAGAAACGGCCACATATGGCTTGACATATATATATATATATATATATACTATGCACGGCTCTGCTGTTGCTAACGGATAAAAAAGGCGCTCTGTCTGGCGTCAGATTATAGCTTGCCTTATTTTCGTTGCTTCCGTCACAGTTCGGTGTAATGAGTAACTCACAATAGAAAAAACTGAACGCCAGCAGTGTCGACGACACATTAAGGCATCGGTTGCGCAACATCAGCATCGTTCCTCTAAGCCACCCAAATGGGTCTTTGAAATCCTTACATTATATCAGTGTGTAATGTTTTATGTGACTACGCGTTAATGTCAATCCATTCTCGTTCTACGTCTCATCGGGTTTCTTATCCATAATAAAAATTATTGATAACTTATGTTACTTTGTAACATAGACAAGTATTTTCACGGTCCATCGCATGAACTATCTTCAATTCAAGATTAATTTAAGAAACGGAGTTTATATGGTCATATTTATATGCGCATAAAAACATACGCTTCTGTTTGCGCGCCTTTGTCCATTGATCTAAGTGTCCTGTTTATATACATATATATATATACAAAGATCTATTCGTTTCGATTGAAGCCCATATATATTAGACATCAAAATGAGTATGGCACAAGGGGCAAAAGGTGTATGACTTGTCGCTCGTCTACAATTAGGCTGCACGGGATAGCCTTTCTGACGCAGCATGACTGCCCGGAAAATGCACTCAAATTGCGCTAATGCCCCGACAAGAGACTGAAGACACGACACAGGGACTAGTACTAGGTGAAGTTTAGGGGAAGGACAAGCTGGATCAAAACTGGTCCAAATAAAACAGAAAAATCAAACGAAACGAATTATCCGTCACGAGAGGCCAGGATCAACTCTGCGCTTCGGGAAACACGAGCCATCTTGAGATGCGAAATGCTGGATTAAACGACAATAGCCAACAACTTACAGGATGTCGGCAAGGCATTCTCGCGATTGGTATTTGGCGACAACTGTGTTATGTGAATGAGCTTTAATATCTTGGAAAAAAAATTTGTTTACCTGTTGACAAGGACCGTACAACGATGGCCATAATTAGGCAAATAATGCTGACTGAGTAGTAGCTTTTTAGCAATTGGCATCAGGTCAGTTCTTTGCAGCTGTCGAAATAGCTCTTTCAACATTCGTCATCTGCAATTCAAGTTTTGACAATTTGGGTGGCAGCGTCCTGTTAGACTCGTCAAACATTCTCAGTTCCTATACGCGCGGCAAGGCTCAATTAAAACACGGATAAAGACTGAGCAAAAGAGAGCAAGTGCGGTTGCGGGGAAATAGAACGCTTGCCAATGTTTGACCACTTAAGATTCGAACGATACTGGACAGACCAATTGCGTCAATATTAGAAACTCGACTGCGTTCATTAGGGATTAACGCTAACGCACCACATGCCATCACAATTGCGTGCCAAGGAATATATTTAGGGTATTTGAATCAATCCAGGTCACCCGTTTAGGCCTCAGCAAACATAGTTAATCACGTCATCGGATCCTTGTGCTCCATTTTTGTCGTACCATAGAAATTATATATGTCGCCCAGAATATGTCGCCTCGGGTGAGGCGAGGTGAAATTATCGCTCTTAAGTAACACTGAAATGAGGTTTATATGTAAATCGGAATTGCTATAATCAATTCCAGTGGCGGAATAGTGCGTACAAAGCACAATGTAGAAGACAAATTTATCGCACGGGCTGGGAGCGCACACTGTGGGGTACGGAAAAAAATTGCCTATTTAAATATATACTAATACGCCGCTTGTTGAGAAGTCGTATGTAGTACTTCATCGGATGACGCGTTGAAAAATGTCGTAAGTACTGATAACCTCGTTTGAGCGTCGTTATCCGGCGTCGAACGTAACCGTTCATCCTGATCGGGTACTAATCAAATTTGCATTCGTTTCTATCCTACAAAAACAAACAAATTCTTGAGGACGATATAGTGGCAGTAAAGGCAGTCTGTGTAAGTACGGGCCTAAATGAATGCATATATTCTCCGTAGAGAAAAACTAATTTGTTTGTAATGTCCTTGTTTATAATACCGGCTATAGGCTTACTGTACTATCTCCCGAAACCTGAGGTCACAGTTAAGGTTTTTGGGAATGTACAGATTTGAGATACCCATACACACCCCGAGTTTCGGGTATCGCAAAATTTGCCTAGATGCAAGCTCCAAAAGTAATGCTACACTCCTTAAGAAAAGGATTCGACTTTTATGTCATTGTCTTTAATTGCCCCAAACCAGCTGTCGTTCGAACAGCTGCTCTAAGTTAATATCGAAGATTCTCTATATGACTGCATAGGAATTAGTTTTGTTTACCTGCTGCCATTGGGGGCTGATGAGGAAGTTTTGATTAGGAGTTAATTTTTCGTCGCCGCGTGCCTTAGCCATTAGTAGAGGCATAAGTACCAGGATCACAGCGATTCGTGCCAGCATCTGCAACAAAGAAAAAATTGAAAAATATAACTAATCTCTGTATCCATCTGATGCACAACTGATGCATCAGAGAAACACCTATATCTGAGAGTTCCCTCTGATTGTCACGACCACATCCGGTTGTGTTTGAATATTGGTATCAAAAAGATTGAGGCCAGCGAAACAGAACGTTGAATACAGTGTTTCCTAATTCAAAAACACTTACGATTATAAGGATGTTAGTGGTTTAGAGATATACGCCATGATCGACAGTTAATATCCTATTGTCATGGCTCCTGCTGAGCGTATTTATAAATCGCGCGTAATTTTTCAACATGTTTCTGTGCATTGGATATTGACTGCTGTTCTTTCCCCGCAGAGGTAATATGCACAAGTCTCGGGGTCGCTGTACGCTTAAGCACTGCATTGCGTCCTACAACGGTTAACAAACGATAGAAATGGACGCAACGTAGTGAGCAGGATATTTTCCAAACGTAAAGACCAAGGTAAAGGGGTTCGTTATCCCGTTCTAGTGTCCTCTCATATTTAAAGTTCTTAAAATGGCAATGGTGTTGGACATTCTAATGTATTGTTTCATAGTCTTAGATATGTCTAGGTAGACAACAGTTCTACATGTAGCTGTACTGTACAAACAAAAAATAATTGCAGGTAAAATTCACACGTAAAATATAGAGATTCAATACTGGCAAACTTAAATATGTCATCGTTCTCTGCTTGCTATGTGCGTATGCTACGACGTAGGCGGTAGTGAGATTTGCGTTATAATCTAGGAGATTGGAATCCACAAATGTATTTCTGAAAAAGCTTCATCAATCGCCTATGGCCTAAGACACCGCGTCAGGACGCCTGTCGTCAAAGGCTATTATTCTATACTCAACGTCACTGATAGTCTTAAATGTATTTCACTATTTTATAGCAAGTTAGAAATTATCATCTCCTGACAGCTTTGTGTGTGGTTTCTATTTCCAGCAAATAGCAGCGAAGCGATAATCATATGCATCGATTCTAATCTAATCCCTACTAAACGCTCGGAAGAAATTTACAACTAGCGTTGCAGTGTCTCGATCGCGTAAACGCGTTAGATGACGCGCAAGATGAGCATGCCCTTCAAGCCATCTACAACGCAAGTCGCTTCCACAATATTCCATCATATGCCGAGTTTTGTTATTTTACGCCCAGGGACCACACAGGGTCTAGCCTATTTTTGAAGCGTCTAACTAACCAATGCAAAGCCGATCACTGCTTTCACGTCGTTTCGTCCGCAGACGGAAGGACTATGCGTTCCTCTACAAATTGGCATTTCCTCTGATTAGTTCCCCTGATCAGGGGAGGTTGTTCATTGTGGCGGGTCCACTTTCTGTTGTTGACGGTACCTGGGAGAAAATTACATATATTGATTAAATTCGGTGTATCTTACAACTGATGCATCCAATGCAATATTCCGCTCTGCATTGTCCGCAGTTCACCCTCAGGTGTTTTTTCAGGTGTCGTTCTTGCCCTTTGTCTGCTTACAATATCAAACGCTTCGGCGTGAGAATTCAAATACACGTCGTCTGAAAATCACGGTGGGAACTGACTTAAATGCGGCAACAGTAAAACGTTTTCCTTTTCGGACCCAAAGCCAGTGCGCACGTCGGTATTCGTCAGTAGTAAATAACAGCGTTGTTCTAGCGGGGGCGTTGTTCTTATATGAAGGAGTGTGCTTTTCAAACCTCGAAATTGTGAGGTTGTATTATGCCTGGCACAAGTGGGTGATTAAACGGCTCGCTCATTTACAGCTCTCTGTTTGTTGCTGCTGCCCCTGCATGTACAGAAAATTGGCTGCCTATAGCGGGATGGGGTCGTTGAGGGGGAAGAGGGTAACGCGGGCAAGAAAAGGCGGAGATCGAGGTTTTTTTGTCGATAACCCACCTGTTTACCTATCTGATCATACGATCGATCGCTGATTGTCATCCAAAAATGGAGACGTGTGTCACGATTGTTGCACATTTTTCAAAGACATTGCGGAACACCTTCTCTACGCATCTTGCTAGAGCATACGAGACTACAGAATGAAGTTAAAGGACAACCTTTCGAAGTTTTGAAGGGACCACAAGCAACAGACAAAACCGAATTTCGTTTATCATTGCATCCGGACGATTATGATGTAATCATTCGTGAATGACACAGTGTCGTACCCTGCGTTGGTTACGATAATTCTGGGAACTCTCAAGTACAGAAGCGGCATTTTTTAAAGGAAAAATTTTCAATTATATGAGCCATCATTGGAAGACCTTGTGTGTTGCGAAATGTCCGTTAGTTAGAATTGGATTAAATTCGAATGCGCATTGAAATTTCTAAAAGTTGAAGATTTTGTGGGACTCCATGCATTTGCTGGACGTTACGTATGGGGTATGGCCGACGTATAAAGAATTAATATAAGAATGTCGGCATGGAACTCAAATGGACAATTCGCAAATAGATGGTTAAAATATATGGTCTGTTCTCTTGAACTCTATCTTTTCCCATTTCTAACCTAGATGTGGCTTAGGACACCCTGAGTGATCGGAAATTTCGCTTACAGATTATTTAAAAGTTCTGTTTGCGCTAATAAAAAAAGACTGTCTGTCAGAAAGAAAAACAAAGCATAAGAAATGCATAGAATCTGTTGAAAAGTACGACTAATTGGTTAGCCAACTTCCTCTGGCATTTGAGATTAACTCGGACTTATAAAACTTTTTTATCTGATGTGGGAGCTTAACAAAGAATCCGTCAGGAGCGTGAAACATAGAAAATACGAGAGAAAATCAAAGAAAAAGACGCACTTCTACCTCCTTTCTCCGTTCGGAGAACCCGGAATAAAGTCTGAAGCCTACAAAGGGGACAGCGTTCTAGTCTCACTCTACCTAACTTTATACCATTAGAGTACGGTTCTATTTGTCTGCGGGGAGGTGAGTAAGTTCCACACTTGGGCCTTATAAAGTGGAGCATAAGGAAAGATCGCTTTGCTAAAACTTCGAAGAACGTGGTGCTGCTACTTACGTACGTGCATCGTGAGTAGTTATAACGAAATTATAGTTGTTCGGGTTATGCAAATTCCGACACCACCATGGAGCTCTGCTTCTCGCCATTATGTGGTCAGCAAACGTTTTCAATGTATGTTTTGTGATGCCAGAGACACTCATTGTCTACTTGAAATTTAGTTGAAAACTTAGAAGAATTGAACATGACTTTTAGCTAATTGAATAACATTCGTGACCGTTTCCTTGCACAAATTCAAGCTATACATACTTCAACAAAATTGCACCTGTGCAAATGTGTTACATGGGCCAGCTTAGCCTTTTCACATCTGTCGTCGAAAACTATATACATGTGATAATTACAGTATCGTTACTCAAACGCGATGTTATTTTTTTCTAATATCATTATTAAATTATTAAGTTGCCGAGTGACAGAAACGGTATTTAAACATAGGAGGAATAATTTTGGTAAAGCACTTGACCTGGAAGGTCAGTTCAATGTATGAAAGAAAATCAAATATGTAAACCTTAGTTAGTTGATCTCGTAGTACTATGCAACGGATTCTTATGAGGGTGAACTAGCAGACTGGGTAACGAACGACACAAGCCCACGTTAGATCAGCGTAAACGGGGTGCGACATACTAGATAAACTGGCATCTGGAAACAGTGAGCTGTTGAACTTGTAGATATTGCATCAGAAGTTTCAAGTGGCATTAATAACTTTTTTTTTGTTAGCACTAGAGCGAGTTATAGCTTTGCAGTAGATTTGTTACTAGTTGTGTTTCAATGTCTTCGTAGTGGTTGGGGAATGAAACTCGAGATGCTCGTGGTATCCGTACCGGCTCGCATTCAGATAATTACTACAACTATGAATGAGCTAGAATTAAAGGTTGTTTTTGGCTACCCGGGCTTCAACTGGTAGACACCAATGCCACCGCTACACCGACTATATACAAAAGTTGTGTAGGCGCAACACTGTTCCATTGGTAAGGAAAGAAAAAAAACGATACGGAGAACTGAAGGCGAATTATCCAGGGTGCATGCCAATCTAAAACTAAGTAGCGTAGTTCTTTCTGAATTAATATAAACTTGATTATTACTAACCAACAGCAGCTCTTACGTGTCTAGCCAGTTTCCTTAGATTGGAAAGAGAAAAGTTATATCAATAATAATGCAATGGGTTGTTTAGAATGGGAGCAGACTAAAGTAGAACATCATAAAACAGTTTTTCCGAACGCATTAACTCGTAATGCTATTAAACTGACGTCTGATTGAGGTACGTTCATGCAAGCAAGCAAGCAACTAGGTCCGAGTGAGCATGTCATCGGGTACGTCAGCCTAGGCAATCCCACTGTCATTTTTCTTCCCCACACGTATTGTACAAATCGAACGTTTTCAGCTAAAAGTAAGTGTTTTTTTTCTAAAGAAAAAAAGCCCAAGATGCTCTTTGTCTCTAATTTTTATTGTACGATCAGATCACATGATGGCGACAAGAGACGAAATAACCCCCATCCCACGAGAAACTATTCGCGCTACTAGTTGTAGCTATAAAACCCCGATGATTACCCAGCTACTTTGAACCTCTACTTGTGCGGCTGCCGCCACGGTCCCATCTTTGTAGTCTAAATCTGCACAAGCACGGGAAAAGAACTTAGCGTCCGAGTTGTCGGAGATGGTAAGTCCTCCCTATTAGGCTGTGCAGTTGCAGTGCTCAGCAGCAATCCCTTGGGAATAGATGACAAGCAGCTAGAAATGCGCCGCTGCGAGCTGCTGCTGCACTTAGCATAGCCTCAAGGAAAGCAAAGGTGGCTCGAAAAGAATAAAAGAACGATGGTACTCAGACAGCAGCGAAAAAATTCGGGGGCCGCCACGGCCTTCTATTCCCGTTCTTTTTGGTACTACGGCTAAATGAAGGTCCGTTGCTGTCGTTCGTTCGTTCGTTCGCATGTATCTGCCTGTCGCTGTGAGCAGATGAGCCGCAGTGCATGCGATCGTCTTTC